AGCATTGGGTTCCATCCAGAGAAAAGCTTCTGCTGAAGAGAGGCAACATGTTATTCCAACCTGGTAGCAGATCATCAAATGGCTGTTTCGCACATTAACCGCTAATTCTCCTTGCAGCATGCAAAGAGCAACAGAAAACTCAGAAAGACCAATTAGGGATCCATGGGAACCTAACGATGTGCTCATTCAGGACGGCACTTAGTGCACAAACTAATTCATGGCAATGCAGAGACACTACTTACTGTGAATGAAAAATTTACAGTTGAAAAACAGTCTTCAAATTCACTCTGAGATAGATTGCTAATTCCCTTTTCTATCATCTCGGCTGATTAAAATAGAAAAACAACCCTTGAGTAATATCTGTTACATAAAGCCTTTGGTCATCATGCTGGCATCATGAGAAGGGCATGAAGCTCCCTCAGCATGCCCCACTACCAAGACTTCCTGTGGAAGAAATGGAGAGAAAGCAAAGCACCCTCCAAGATGCTCCCCCAGTTTCTGCCCACTAATCATTTACGCAGTCACACAGGAAAATAAGAGGTCAGGAGAAGGTATGGAATCCAATATCAGTAACTTCCTGGAAGATGCTGTGCAGTATTAGGAAGATTAGATGCCCTGAGCCGCAGTCCTAGCAGATTTCTTCTTTCTTTGTTGCTTTGATAAATCATTTATTAGAACAGCCTTTTTACATAATCCTTGGGGGAGAAAAAAAAAAAAAAAGTAAAAAAAAAAAATATCCAACATCCCCCCCATAAAATAGATTTATCACAAAATCCTGTCCTCCTACCAGCCATCTTCAGAGCAGAACATATATTTCTCTGATTATTAATTAACTGATGCACCGAAACAGCTTCAAGCTTTTTAACCTCTCCCTTTCTCTTTTGTCCTTCAAGAGAGTAGATGACAATGCAGGTGTTCAAAACACAGATACATTCTTGAGCAACCGTAGTACATCATCATGCTTTGAGCCCTATGGTCATGGCCTCAAACACTAAAGCAAGTATTTAAGCTATTTTGCAGTACATATGTTCTGTTCCTAGTCATACATGTTTAAGCCTGGCATAGCACCATTACTGCTGCTGACACTGATGTGGAGAAACAAAGATGGTTAACTGCCAATAGCACACATAAGAACAAAAACAACAAACAAAAAAAACCTCAAAAAAGTCATGCAATCTACCAGGAAGTACTTGACCTGAAAAGAGAAAGGAATATGACATTGTTAACACAGCTTTTCTGTTTGTCTGTCTGCCTATCCTTTATCACTGTGACATCTCAACTCTCAGGGTAAGCCATAGCTTTTCTTCTTTTGGAGTCCATCCAACTACCCTCAACAATATGAAATGCAACTCCACATAAATAACAGGGAGGGGGAGAGCTGAATGCACCAACAACTTCTGAGTGTATCAAGCCCCCTGGAACTCAAACAGTCAAATGAAGCTAGAGGAATTAGCTGCTCTGTCCCAAGGATGTGCCCACAAGGAGAATGCACAATTATTGGCATTTTCCCTCTTCCTTCTCTCTCCTCAGCCTGCTCACTCCAGCCCCTCCACTCTCAGTTGCTAGCCAGTGGAGATTTCTATATTACGGCAGTGGATATCTGGACAACTAAGGAGAAAAAAATAAACATCCAAATCTGGTCAAAATCTGTAGGCAACCAGCACCAACAGCAATAGAGTACAGCTCCCAGCTTCATTATCTGGTCTAAATGAAATATAGTGAGCAAATGCACTTCTGATCTCTCTTATTAGTCCCATTTGTTAAAATGCTGTATTATTTACAGCTTTGCACAGGATGAGGAAATGGCCTTAGAATTCCATCTCAAAAGCAAAGGGATGATAAAAACTATTGTAGCCTTGTGAGCTTATCTAAAGGCAAGGTTCTTGCAGAGGTACAACTGTATGAGCATCCCAGCACCAGGATTTATCACCCAACTAAAGGTCTAGTTTGGGCAAAAGCAGAAAAACAGTAGATTTCCATCACACGTGGCAGCAGGTCTGGTGGGGTTTGCATGAATTAGGAGTTTGATTCAGCAATTAACATCATTTTATGGAGTTACTCACTCAGATATTAGCCAGTGAGCAACACTGAGATGTCAGACCCAACTGTGGAACCACGTAAATCCCACAACAGAGGTACCTTGATTTAATCTAGGTGCCTGCCTTCATCGCAGTCAGAACTGGTCCCTGCTACACAGTCAGTGAGACTTGATTCTTTTGAGCACAGCTAGGAAAGTCCTGGAAAACAGAGAGAATTTTTTTTCCTAACACTCCACTGACTATTTTGGCGAGACCTCCACTGGTTAGTTTAGAATCCCAAGGGGATTTGCTCACTAATGGATCCACTGTAAACACACTCTAGGTGTGCACACTTAGTTAGTAGGAGGTACATTGCAACGAGACCAGTTGTAAGAGTAGAAGTCAAAGTTTAAAGACAAGCTAGGCTCTCTAAAGACACGATAAAAGCAATTACCCAGCTGCATCCAAGTCAGCTTTGATATTTGGTACCTGCATATATATTAGTAAAGTAAACATGCCTGGCACTTTCCCCTAGCACTGGGGCCAGCTGGCACAGAATGTCCCACACCCAAACTATTAAATTCTCTTACTTTCCAGAGTATCATGACCACATCCAAGCAAACTACCAAAAGCAGCCTCTGTTCTGTGCTAATACTCAGACTTTGTCCAGGAATTGTTTGGAGTTAGGCACAAGCCAAAACTATGTCAAGGACTTTTCTAAAAATCCATCGGTACAGATGATTCGTTTCCAGTTTCTCTGAACTTCCCTGGCACAGTTTTATTTTACTGTTACAGATGTAGCTGATGGGTCTTAGGCAGGAATATTAGCAGTTCAGAGGTGATTTTTAAAAGAACTGGCTTTCACTACACCCTATAATCAAAGATGTGAGGTAGCTAGGCAGCAAATTTCAAGTTGAAGCTCAAGTAAAACATTTCCAAGGGAGCTTCCAGCAGTATTTAAAGAATGAATCAGCCCAGGTGAAATCAGGAGGTGTTTAGGTTGTTTGTTTGCTGAGAGCAAATCCTAGGACTTTGTTGACTGATAGATTATCCAACTAGTCAAATGTAAACTGGGAACATTACCAGGTGTTTACTGGCAAATAAGTGATTGCAAAAGCAGATCCATGGCCATGGAATAATACCCCAGCTCATTACTCACCGTACATAACTCTCCAGTTTTCTGTCTAGAGACTGATGACTGCTGTGAGGCTTGAACAACACTTTTGGTCACATCTTCAGAGCTGCAGTGTTGGTCTCTCTTCATCCAGATGATTGGCAGGAAAACTGCATGGACAGCCAGTTACTTGGAGCCTTGGCTTGAAGAAAGGATGCCGAAGATGGATGCCTGTTTATTTCATGGGCCTCCCTCTTAAAAACATATCCAACATACTCAGTTAACCTGTTGTCTCACTTCGAGGCTAAGACCATAGGTTTTATCACCTCTCTTAAACTTATTAGCCAAAGACAGGGAGTAGAGTTTTGATGCAAGAGTGAGAAGGTGGGCTTGCACACATGCATGTGTGTGCACATCTTTTTCAAGTACAAGCCACACTCTGCCACCTGTGAGACTCTTTTTTCAAGGAGGAACTAGACCAGGGAGGAGGTGCTGCTGAATGCATTCACAGAGCAGCCCAAGGCTGTGAGCCATGCCTGGTGCTGCTGTCTGGAGCAGGTGTATACCTGGCAGCAAACGTTCAGCTTTAGCTTTTTGAAGGGCTCTCAAACTGTCTCTTCATTTCAGCCTGTCTGTTGAGAGAGACTAGGATCCTAGGGTTGATTTGTGCTGCCAGGGCTTTGCAGGGGTGAGAAGACAGATGGCTTTGTCTGGAGTGCAGGCTGGCCCAGGCTAGTCTTACCCAGGGATTGTGCTCAGAAATGTTGTTGGCTCACAGGGACATTTCTGGCAAAGGTAGCAGAGGCAATTCTTATAAAATGTGATGGCCCCCTGCCTTACTAATACCTCAGACCCATGATCACTCCCACTAAAGTCATACACAGTCTAGGCAAATGAGGCCTTTTCCTGGAGCTAACGTGAAAATAAATAAATAAATAAATAAATAAAAAATAAACTCACACCAAAAATCCTTCCCAAAGCTGAATGATTAGATGCATTGCAACCTGTGTGGTTCTGACCTATCTTGGCTCTTCTGATCCCCAGAGAACAAGTCGTCCATTGAGACAAAGAATGTCATTTCAGGTGGCCTGTAAATACAATATTCAGTCACTATAGGTGTTTCTACTGCTGGATGTGCTCCATGGCTGATTGGATGATTTGCTGGCAAGGTAGGAAACTACTTATTGAAACGATGTTAGGAAAGCACTAGTGTTCATCTTTCTCAACTGCAGAGTCAACAGAAAGTCTGCAGTAATTGCTAGTTAATAAAGCTCCTCATATGGCTTAAGTGGCCAACAATCAAACTATTCATGCCAATGAATACCATAATGGAGAACTTATTAAATTTACATTTTACTTATTATTACCATAATAAGGAGGTAGCATAGGTATATCAGGTTCCCTTCATCGTGAATATTGGAAGGCAAAGGAAAGGTTATGCTAGTAAGTGAAGGAAGGTCTAGAGATTTACCCAAGTCATGACGGAGGGACAAGGAGCAAGACAGGGTGCCTTGAGACCATGCATCACATCTGCTGAGACCCAGCTCAGAGGACCCAAGTCTTGTGTGTGCTGATGCTATGGCACCAGCATTTGTGCTTCACATATTCTTGTGTCCAAACTGGCGCTCAGACCAGGCACTGCGTCCTGGGATGCTGATCTGTAACAACCCCTCCTACCCTTCGTCCCCCATTGGCAACCATCCTCTCCTCACTCTCCTGCCTACCTGCCTACCCTCCTACCTGCTTACTCCCTCCCTTCCAGCGCCCTCACCCTCTTCCCCATGTTCATTCTCAGTGGTCGTTGCATGTACGTGCCTTGGCCCGCTTCCTTGACATTAAACCCCCTGCCTTGCCTCATGTTTTGACAGGTTTTGTGAGTTTTGACAATCCTGCCAGTGCCCAAGCTGCTATCCAAGCTATGAATGGCTTCCAGATTGGCATGAAGAGGCTGAAGGTGCAGCTGAAGAGGCCAAAGGATGCTAATCGTCCTTACTGAGGAGTTATGGGAACCACTGGATACAAAGCACTAGCACAGGTAACTGCATGGGGAAGAGGGTGTCAGTTGTGGTTGTAGCATCTCTTTGTCTTGTAGACCCTCAAAAAGATTCAGCTCTGCAACTCTCTAGCTTCTGCCTTTTTCACTTAGGTCTCTGGCTAGAGCCACATTGAACAGATACACACCCACACATAAACCAGGAACCGTTTGTGTGTGCGTCTCTTTAGAAAAAGAGGTGGAAGGATGCTTAATGAGGGATGAGCCAAGTTCCCCACCCCAGGGGCATCCTGCATCTCTAGAAAGTCCTCCTGGTCACTAGAGGAGAGCCAGCAGCTGTCCTGATTCCCCTTGCTCAGCTAAAGAGAGCATTTCTGGTGGCTGAAGAAAATCTGCAATTAAGAGATGGGACCGGGCTGCAGTTTAATCCCAGATGACTGGACTGGGACAGTGTCTGTCTCAATAGCTCTGTGTTGCAAACGTTTCAAAGCATTCTTCATTCTTCATGTGGTATAGTCTGTATCCAATTTCATCACAGCATAATAACTTTATGTAAATATGTCTCCCTGACAACTAAATAACCCCTAATTTCTCTCTTCCCAAACCCAAGAAATGAATAGAAGGACTCACTTCTTGCTCGGTTACTGTTAACTTCAGTGTGTAGATAAAACCCAACCAAAGCCAAGAAAGCTTTGCTTGAGTGAGGACCTAGACAAATCTAAACAAAAGTCTCACTGTTAGACTCATGTACTTTATATTGTTGGAGAGGAGCCAGCTTGATGCTCCAAGGGAACTTCTAGTACATGTAACAGTGTCAAAAGTATCAGAAGCAGCACCTTGTTTTGTTGGAATCCCAGCCTATTGCCAATAACAAAAATGGAGATGTTTCCAAAAATGGAAATATATTCCACTGCTGGCTGGCTTTTCCATTAGATAATTCTTTGAGAAACAGAAATATAAGACCATACGTGTTTGTTACAGAGACAGGAAGTTTCCCTGCAGTTAAAACTGTTCCACCCCAGAGATTCCCCAATAAAACCAGCACTCATAGTGACCCTAAACTGCAACAAGTATTTTGCATTCCTGAATTAGCGACAGAGAGATATGTTAGGTGACCTTTATAGGCTGTTACAGCTGTAATGTCTAAGAGTCAGTGATTTTGATTCAGGCCCTTCTTGATCCATCTGAGATATAGGCAGGAAATCCTTATCTTCAACCTTCCCAAAGAACTATGAAGTGTTCTATTTTTTCACCGATATCTCTGAGATATTTGAAAAAACGGTCTTCAGAGCAGTATCCTTTCCACTGAGAATTAAGGAATGGGATCAAAGTGTCTTTGAAAGAGGTGCTGCACTGAAGACGACATGAAGCAGGATAAGAAACCTTTCAATAAACATATTAGGTTCACGTGCAAAATACAGCCTCCTTAGTTTAGACTCTCCTTTATATGTGACTATATGAAGATAACTCAATGCATTTTCCCTCTTCAAAAATCTCTTTTCTTTTCCTTGCTTATGACAAGGCCTCTTGGAAGCTTGAAACCAAAATATGTTTCCATATCCAAATGCTTTTTGCTTCATCACACCAGCTTTTTACTGCAGGTTTTGCTGGGGGAGAGCAGGAGATGCATGCATGCAATTTTGTTAAAGCAGGGACTGTCTTTGTCAGGGAGATTTTCAATAACATTTGCAAAGGAATCGAGGAACACAAGTTTCTCTTTAGTTTGGCACCAAGCAATAACTTTATATAGTAGCATAGATGTGGTCAATGGGGATATACTTGTTTGTAATGGTCATATAAGAATGTGCAGGGCTGTAGACACCTGTGTTTTTAAAGACTGACTGGTATGAGTCTGTGATGTTTTCATTATCATGGATCATTGTGAAGTGCTCTGCCTCTACCTTTTCATGATCAGGCTGATGTTGAGGCCTCAGATTGTTTCCAATAAAAAGAATACTCAGTAGTAGGACTACTATTTGTTGTTTGTTGTTTTTTTTCTTCCCAATAAATGACAAAACAAGAAATCAGCTGGTAAAATGGCAATAAAATTACGTTCTTCCGCAAAGCAGGAGAACAGTCTTGAATTGTCGCCTCTAAATAGAAGTCCTTTAGCCTTCCTGGCTTTTAATTTTATTTTAATGCTCTGCTGTCAGCAAAATCGGTTCAGTTGTTACCACCAGATCACTTCCATCCTCTGCTTATAGGAGCCTTTATTAGAGGCACAGACAGTCCCTATCAAAATGGAGTAAATGCAGCTCAGAAGTCCTCATTCTCTTGTAGACTCCCACCTTGCTGAGCCCATTGGAAGAGTTGAAGATGTACATATCTTGTAGCAGGAGACAGTTCTCCAGGAAAAAAAAAATTGTGTGTTTTTTTTGTACCTAACAAAAGGGATTGGCCAAGTGCACATGGCCCCAGGAGGACACTGTAGAAGTAAATCCCAGGGAAAGATCCAATTTAGCACAGGTACTACCATGCCAGGTTAGACTGGAGAGGACACTTGGTGACAACAAGAATACCCAGAAGCTCAGAAGGGCTTAGATCCAGCTCTTTCTTCAGCTCATCAGCTTTTCAGTGATCGGAAACATCCACACCAGCACCCTAGAAGCAGACAGAGGAGATTGAGTCATGTTGGCCACAATTCTGCCTCCCTCCAGGGCCTGAGGGCTAAGCCCTCAGTAATAAGGCTTACTCAGAGATAGGTCAGTTGTTCTTGTCTCAGCACAGTGTTATTGTACCCCCACAGCTGGGTTGATGTGCAACATCCAGACAGCCTCAGAAATACCACTGGAGCTCTCTGGCTTGCACACTCAGTAGTCAGTGTCATTACTGCTACGAGAAGCTTCCTGAAAACACTAGGACAGCAGCCAGCTCAGCCCATGGGTACAGCACAGACAGCTAGAGCAAAGCTTGAGAGCTCCCTTAACTGGCAGAAACACAATAACTCCTGTATGTTTTTTATCTAGTTTTACTTTGGTCCCAGCTCTTCAGGGTGCTTAATTCCAACTTGAAGCATGTGCATAACCATATTGACATCAGGGCAATTACTCATGTGCTTCAAGAGGATGCTAAAGAAACTTTTTAATTGGGATTTTTCTAAGGGAGAGCTTTGTTTTATTGAACTCCTTTCCAAAAATAAGAAGCTGCCAACAAAAAACACAAGCAGCACCCAGTTTGATGTAATCCACCAGAGTGTTTTTTCCTAACCAAGAAAGAAAGATCTTCACTCAGTTTTAATTCTGGATGCATTTTTTTTTTTAGCTCATAAATCTCCCTTTTGGGACACAAGAGTCTAGGCCATAGTGATTTTCCTTGCAACTTTGTTTTCCTTGCAACTGCTCTAAAGTTGCTGTCAAACACTGCAAGGGTTTCTGTGATGTGGCAGATAAGCCCACAAGCTGTAGCAAGCAAAGCCCTGAAGAATTCAGATGGCAAAATATTTCCAAAATGGCTGCTTCTGTTCTCTTTCTTCTTTATAATTAAAGAGGTGGTTTTAGTTAAAAAAAAAAAAAGAAAGGTTGGGAAAGAAAGAGGAGAAAGAAAAAGTAAGAGAGGAGGATCATTTGAGGCAACTCTGCCAAAATCAATATATTCTATTAGGAATTCCCCCTCAGGACTAGGAAGCAAGGATTCAGAGGCACTTCATGTGTCTTTCAGATAGCAAATGCACAAAATGAAGAAAAACCCACCCTGAAAATCAGAGCTCCCTTGGGTGTCCATTCCTAAGAGCCCTTAAGTAGCCTGTGGTATGGCAAAAGTGCAGGTCCAACCTACACTGCCTGTGTGTGCGTATGAGTCCTCTGCATGGCCAGAACCATGGAGGGCTGCTAGGACAGGCAGAAGGATGAGCTCCTCTCATCCTCCTCATGGGAGCAGAAGTGATCGGTGTGATTCCAGCCCTCCACACCAGGTCTCAAATCTAATTGGCCAGTGCCCCATCCATGCTAAGTCATGATAGCCATGATAGGACAATATTGCCTCGAAAACCCTGTGATTCACACCTCTTCCTGTATTAAAGGGCTTAACAGGGCAGCACAGAAGCATCCAGCTGGTAGACCAATAAAACATGTTGCACAGAAAAGCAGTGAAAACGCTATCCATTCCCCTTCTGTGGCTTCATTTCAGTGACTAATCGTTAGCAAAGGGTTATTTACCACCTCAGACAGACACTCTTGCTCTTGAAGTTTTATTTAAAACTAAAGATGGAGAGACATTTGGGTGGGACTAACCTGGAGCACTGACTGGCATGAAACTAGGTGAGACACAGTGATGGTGAGCAAGAGAAACTGCATGAGACAAAAGTGAAGCAGAAGAGTGAAAAAAAAAAGGTCAACAGTAAGACTTTTTTTTTAGCTGTGCTTATAGAGTAGTGGCAAAACATTAAGAGAATGCATTGTCCAGGCAACCTCCTTCTCCAAAATCCCAAGGGAAATAACACAGGCCAAAGCTCTAATACAAAAAAAAAGATGTTCAGGTCCTCCTTCACAGCTTCTTGAACATGTGCTGATATGTGATTTATTGTAAAAGGTATGAGATGCTTGTTTCTGCACCTGGCTGGAATAAGTGATATTTTTTCCCAGATTAAAAGTGTTTGGGTTTTTTTCCTTTTTTCATGGGAATGTGTAGGTTACCAAATCAGAAAACTTTCTGTTTTCCTTTGTCTGTGCTCTGATAAGAGAAAAAAACAAACAAACAAACAAAACACCTGATTTTAAAGTAAGAAGACATTATCAGCCAAAAATAAAACAAACAAGCAAAATTCCAAATGCCCATAAACAAAAAGATATGAATGGAAAATTTCTGGCTGTCTCTTGTCATTTCAGATCACTTCAACACAAAGTCTAATGAAAGTGTATTTTTTTACTTAATTTTAAATTGCTTATCCCTCTAAGAAAGGCTTGTACTACCTCCAGTGAGAGATTGTTCTGTAGTTGCATTGATCTCACTGTTGTCTATTAAGCTGTTCATCTTGAGATTCAGACTAAATATCCTTTATCAGGATCTAATCCCATTTCTTGCAGTTATGCCTCCTACAGTCATGCTAACTGGTTCCTCTTCCTTCTGCACAGATTATTGTCATTTCCCTCCTTTAGTCATCACTTAGATCATTTAGGACTTGCTTACATTATGGAAATTTGCAGTACTATAATTACATCAAAACAGTACTCCAGCACAAGCTTTATTGTGAGCGAATAAAGTGAGATCAAAATCAGCACAGCTTCATTTGGAACAGTCTGTGTAGGTATTGAAAAAAAAAAAATCAGCTCAGCCAATTATTTCTTTTTTCTTTGGATTACTTTTTTTTTTTTAATTTCCACTGACAAATGTGACTAAATTAAGCACCCCTCACTGTGTTTTTAACCCAAACTTTGTGCTATTGTCCTCGTACAGGAGAGAATGGAAGTGAATGGGGGAGGCTGAAACAGAACTACTGAATGCATTTGCAAAACTGACAAGGAAACCCTTTTCTTTTCTGGCTGATCATCTTTAACCTGTCTGCCCATTTAAATTACTAATAATTTTATTATGGTAAAATTCTCATGTCTGTTCTATAAACCACAGTTTCGATACCAGAACATGCAAAATCCCATTTGCTAATTATTGTAGTTATTCTAAGATTGGCACACAATATAATGCACTGATGGAAAACGACAATAATTAATTACTGCATTTACTCCAAAATTACAATCAGTAATTACTGCTCTGAGACTGAATTCCATTCAGCAGTATTTGGAACTTGTTCTTCCTCAAAGCAGGGCAGCTTTTCAGGAGTATTGCTGTGTTTGCATCTAAATGAGTCCATGTAGGTCACTAACGGATCTGCACTATTTGTCATGGGAGTGATACAGCAGCACAATGCAATACCATAACACGTTCCTTCAGTTCAGAGCATGAATTCTTCATTAAAACCCATGTCCCCATTTTTAAAAAATGTTAGATAATGCAATTATTTCAGAATTAAATAATAGATATGAAAGCAGCCGCCCATTTCTCATCCTGCTGTGATGCAGTTGGTCCTGATGTCCTAAAGTAAACTTTCAGAGGCTTGTGAGAACTTTTCCCAATGACACAGCCAGCAATGACCCTGCTGTATTGTCCCTGCTGTGAAAAGACCAGGAGTTTGGTATGGTTGTGCCACCTTCAAAGGCTTCCAACAGCAAAATCCTCCAAAGACCAAGAGTAGACTGGAGAGTGGCAGTGTTATATTCAACCACTTGTCCAACAAGATTACTATGGGATCTCATATGGACCATGTCATGCAAATTAGCTGAGTAGGTAAGATTTAGGGCCTTTCTGAGCTAACCAGTGTGAGTTTTGATTGCTTCGGTTCATGGGCAGCTGCAGTAACCTGAAGACAGTTGCCTTTGAAGGAAGCTTTTGTTAGATTGATCCAGCAGAGAGATTTGATGGGCCTGTGCATGGGGGACTGCAACTTGAAGAAAAACTGGTAATTGTAATAAAAGGAAGGAGTAGATGTTTTAAGCAGCTGTGATTCAAAATGAGAGCCAAAGAGATGGAAAAACACCAGAGACACCCATAGCCAAAATATTTGTTCCAGCAGCAGCAAAGAGTGACAGAATGCAACCCTCTGATAAGTAATGTAAGCACAGAGAGAATGAGAGAGGGAAACACCACAATGAAAGAGGCTTGTGAAAATCTAAGATGAGGTTTAAAAACAAGTGAGGTCATTTTCCTACAGGACCTTGAAATAAGTGACAAATCAGCAAAATGTTTTGATACTGGAGCACTGGGGAGAGCAGTACCCACTAATGAACAGACAGAAAAGTAACATGTTATCAATTTGGAAATGCAAGTACCTGGGGAGAGAGCAAAGGCCAAGTTGTTTGACACTCAGTGTATGAGACCGTAAAGGTCTAGGACTTCAGGCAAAAGGTGTTCTTCTTAG